CCCAGGAGGCCACTTCGTCCCAGGCTTGACCTTCAGATGGGCCAGCACGTTGTATATGCTGCCCACGTCCTGCCCTCGCTGACCTGGTCAGGGGATCAGGGGTGGGAAGTGAGGGGAAATGGTGACCAGTCTAACCCTGAATCTCGATTCCTGCCCCCATTATGTCCCTCCTGGCATTCCTCACGGTTTGTCTATTTATTTATTTGCTTATTTATTAATTTGTTTGTTTGTTTGTTTGTTTCAGTGACTTGTTAACATCTGTTTTCTCTGACTGACTCTAAGCTGTTGGCAAACTTTTTCTTTCTGCAAAGGGCCAAATAGCAAATATTATGCCATTTCTGTTGAAATTATACAAGTAAGGTGAAGCAGCCATAGACAAGAGGTAAATAAACAAACATGGATATATTTCAATAAAATTTTACTTACAAAAACAGGCCAAGGGCAGGATTGGGCCCATGGGTCATAGTTTGCTGACACTTTCGCTAATCTCCAAGACAGCTGGGACTTATCTGATTACTCTCAACTGTATCCCATTGTTTGGGCAGACCATACATTGCAGGCGTTGATTCGATCGATATTCGATGAACGAAGGCATGACTGAGGGAGCGAAACGGAGAACACCTCTGCGGGTGAGACTCGAGGGCCATGTGTAACGTGGACTGACGGAGGGAAAGTGCACAGCTTACGTGAACATCCAGAGATGGAATAGACGGAATGCTGCCAGGCTCAGAATCACACCGGAGGTGAAGGTAGAGGGGGTTGCTTGGAGACGAAGGGCTGCCCCAGTGTGGCCAGGGCTTGGACCCTCTTCCTAGGGTTACCAGAAGAATAAAACGGGACACGACCGGTATGGGTCACAGCACAGCAGTTGGCACATGGGAAGGTCTCAGCTGCCATGATTACTGTTGCTGTTATCAACGCAAACCCCTGAAAACTGCCTCTCAAACCCCCACCAATGACCACCAATGAGTCAGCTTGGCTCTGGGTAGGCCTATGATGACCACAAGAAAGCCTGTCCCTTGAGGAGCTGGAACTAGGACCTGTCCTAGTGCTGGGGACACCCTACCACCTGTTTAGTACCCAAGCTGGAAGCTTCTCTAGTGCAGGGAAGAGGGGCTGGTCTTGCCCCAAACAGTGTTGTGTCTCCCCTATCAGACCGAAGGCTTACCCTTCTGTCTCTCCCTACCCCATCTAGTCCAGCTGATTGCCTGCAAGAGACTCTGACCTGTCACCCCACTCCAGCTGGAAGCACCCAGTCTAGAGCCTGGAGCTGAGGGCGGGCACATTCTGAGGTCGGCCTGTGGCTTTCTTTCTTAAGCCTCCCAGAAAGGCCCCAAGTTCTGGGCTCTGGGACCCCTAAGCGGGGCCTGGAATCCAGAGGTACCAACTCGCACCTGAGCCCTCCAGGTGAAGCAGTGAGTCCTACTGGCTATGGAACTCCTTAACTAGCCTTGGTTCTCCACATCTTGGGGTTAGGACCAGGCGATGCTTGTTGCTAGCTTAGACTCGTGCGAATCTGGGTGGATTCATGCACAGCTCAGCAAGGAGATGACATGTTTGTGCTAGAAAAGGGCGCCCTGTACCTGGGCAGACACAGCCCACACCAGAGCTCAGGGCTTGGTCACTTGAGCACGAGCAGGCTTTCAGTGCCCTCCTTCTTAACTGGGTGCCTTTATTCAGGACACAAGATGCACAACCTTGAACTGTGGCTTGGCCTGAGTTGCCAGCGTTTTACTTACTTTCTAGGTCAATTGTCCGAGGGAGAAAGGAAAAGCAAAGCAGTTAAGAATGGGGCTGTCTCAGGCTGCCCTCTGGTGGTCAGGTGCCGCATAGCACACACAGCTCAGGAAAAGCATCTCAGGCTTGTCTTACCTGAGTCTCTGCCTTGGTCCAGGGGCCGGGGTGGGGATGTCTCCTCCCTGACTGCAGAGACTCAACACCCAGGAATTGGGGTACCAGCCTCTAAATCCTGAGAAAGAGATTCTGTCATAAAGAGCCACTATGGTCCAGGCCTGGCCAGGCATTTTAGAGATGAACTCAGGGTACCTGTTCACACACCAGGCTGGAAGCTTCCCCAGCGCAGGGGGCAGGGGCTGGTCTCTCCCCAGAGTCCCCAGTGACCAGCACAGTGGTTGTGCTCCTCCATCCGACTGGAGGCTTACCCTCTGTCTCTCCCTACCCCACCTAGTCCAGTTGGCTGCCTGCGAGGGACTTTGACCTGTCCCCTGACTCCAGCTGGAAGCCCACGATCTTGAGTCTAGAGCTGAGAGTGAGCACATTCTGAGGTCAGCCTGTGGCCCTCTTTCTCAGGCTTCCTGGAAGGGCCCCAAGCCCTGGCACTCGGGACTCCAAGACAGGCCGGGCCCCCAGAGAAACAGGGAGCAGTACCGGGAGCCTCACCCGGGCCTCGGCCCCCCCGGAGAGTGACTTGTAGATGAGGAGACAAGGGTGGGGCTTCCCATCGCTCTGTAGGTGAAGTCCAGACCCCGGTGGGAGGCCCTGCGGGAGCCAGCGTCTGCCACCCGCTCCCTCTCGTCCTCTGGCTGTCTCTTCCTCCTGGACACTGACCCCTTCCTTTCACCTCCAGACCATTGCCTATGTTGCTCTCTCTGCCAAGCCAAGTCCCACTCATCCCTCAGCTGTGGACTCTGTCATTGTCACTTCCCCTGGATGCTCCCTCCACACCCAAGATCAGAACAAGTCCTTCTCTTCTATACTCTCCACAGCTCCTTCCCAGTGCTTCTCAGGGCTGTGATTCTCGATTTACCTGCGTCACTAATGGATTAGTGCCTACCTCCCCCACCAGGACTGTCTCCCTCCCCCAGTGAACAAGGACCTCATCTGTCATTCATACTGTCATGCACGGTGCCGGGCATACAGTAGGTGCTCAATAAGCATTTGCTGGATGAATGAAAGGTTGAATCCATTAGTCCTGGCTATAACCACTTTTTAGATGTGTGACCTTGGACAAGTCTCACTTTCTTGCACTCAGTCAACAAATATTTATTGAGCATCTACTACATATTGTTCTGAGCGTAGGAGTCAAACCCAGATCTGTCTGGCTTGCAATTCTTTCTTTCCGCGTGCCCAGCTCTGTCCTGAGAAAGCCAGTGCTGAGGAGATGTTTAAGGCCTGGAGATGGGCAGCCCCAGTCTGAAGTCTCCTCCTCTCCCACTGGTCCCCGCGCGTCATTTACGTCAGTCCCCTGGTGCCCCCCCACAGCCTTGCCTCTCTACCTTTGAGCTTGCCACCATTGCTTTCTGCCAACATTCCACTCAACCTTCCAAATGCCATTGTAGGGTCACCATTGCCTCGAAGCCATCCCCACAACCCTTGACAAGGCAACTCTGCTCTCACTGCACTTGCTGGCACGGGAATGCTCCACTGCCCGCTCTGACCCGAGGCATTGATGGGCACGGCTCCCCTGAGCTGCACCGTGCCCCCCTCCCAGGCCCGCCTGGGCACGGACTGAGTCTGATTCATCACTGTAACGGCTCCCGTTGATTAAGCTTTGTCTGATCAAACTGCAGCATCTGCTCTCTGTGCTCCAGCACCCTGCTTGCAGCCGGGCACTCAGGGCTAGTGAATGTCCGTCACTGAACAGGAGAGTCAGGGCAGGCCACAGGACTGGGGGCTCTGGCTGGATCCTCAGAATCATGACAGGAGAATGGGACTCAGGGTGTGACGGGCACAGCCTGGGCGCTCTCTCCCCTGCTCCCTGCACCTACCAGAGTGGGGCAAGGGGGGCACTGGGGGAGGGCAGTGGAAGGTCACAGGGCAGATGAGCTGTGGGCTGAGCTGGGAAAGGACAGTCTGCCCCGGGGAAGGACAACCACACACCTTGGAGCTGTCTGGGAATCTGGGAATTTTCTGCCTCAGCAGAATCCCAAGGACTGGGAAGGTGAACATGGGCATCCAAGGGGGAGCTGCCCACCCCTGCATGGCCCAGTCTCAGGCCAGTGCCAGGGCTGGGCTAGGAGGCAGGAGGCCTGGGTTCTAGACCCCACTCTGCCATCGATTTGCTGTGTGACCTTGGGCAAGCCCCTGCCCTTCTCTGAGCACCAGTCTGTACAATGAGAGGACTGAGTCAGTGTGGAACCGGCCAGCACAAACGCCAGGGGCCGGGATAGCCGGAACCTCTCACCCCACTCCAGAGATATGTCTGAACGGGTAAACAAGTGACTCTGGGCGGGGCTACTGCTCAGCCTCGTCCACCTGTCCCTGTCTTAGGCTGAAGGGGGCACAATGGGCTCCCCGGTGTCCTCTCCTCTGTAACCTGCCCCTTATCTCTCCAGGGGCTCCCTTCCTGTCCCCTCTGCCCCCAGAGCTGCCAGGCTACCAGCTGGGAACATTGGCAGCTGTGACCAAGTGTCCTGCGTCATGGTGAGTCAGAGCCCTCTGTCCAAGCCAGATCCACTTACTCCATGACAGAAAGAAGAAAAAGGACATTTCTGCCTCCTAACCCCAGGCCACACAAGACAGGACCCCAGAACCTGGCCATAGGCAGGCCCATTTTTCCATCTCCACACAAGGACAGGCACACAGCTGGCTCTGTGCAAGGCACCAGGGCATCCTTGGGGATCAGAATATCCTGTCTCCTCAGAGCTATCCTCTCCCAAGCCAGACTTAGGGGGACGGGGCTGGTCCGATGGGGGCAGAGCACTTATATTGAGCATTCAGGTGAATATAGCACTGACTTCATAACTGGCACATCCGTCTTGTTCGCACTGGCACATAGTAGGTGTTTCATACTCATCCTTTGAATAAAGGTTCTTCGGGCTTCCCATGAGTGCAGGGAAGCTTGGTGAGTTGACAATGCATCATACGGGTGTTCACCCTCACCGTTATTTATTTTTAGCCCCAAGTCCCTAGTCTGTGCTAGTCATTTTGCATACATTGTCTCGTTAATCCTTACAGCAATGCCAGGAGGTGAGATTTCTCACCCCTAGTTAACAGATGAAGACACTGAGGCTCAGGGAGGTGAAGCAACTTACCCAAAGTCACACAGCTTGTGTGAGCTGAGTCCATATTCATACCAGGTCTGCTGACTCCGGTGGCCAGGGCCACTCTCCACCCAGACTGTACTCCAGAGAGGGCACCAGGCCTGGAGGAAGAGAAGGAGGTCAGCATCCATCCCCACCCTATTTCTGCCCCCCACCCCCACAGTCCCACAGGGTTCAGATCCTGCCCTGCGGAGGCCTTAAGCTCCAACTCATGCTCCTGCCTCAGACTTTATTCCTTTTTCAAAACCCTGCCATCACAAGGTTTTTTAAAGGAACCTGGGTTCCTCACCTGCCCATGCAAAAGGGACATAGTGATACCTGCCCTGCCTGGTACACAGGTAGGCAGGTGTGAGGAGGAGCGAGATGAAGTGTGTGAGAGAGCGTGCCTCTGGCCCTGAAGAGCCGTGTGCACGGGAGGTTTGCTAAGGAGCTGGGGTGTGTGTGTGTGAGTGTGACTGTGGGTTAATGTGAATGTGCTTCAATATGAGAGTGTATGGCTGTTAGTGCGGGGGGCGTGCTAGTGTGTATGTACAAGTATGTGAGTGAGCAAGCGTCCACATGTGCGCGTCTGTACACGTGTGAGAGTATGTCCATGAGTGGCTTTGTGAGTTAGGGAGTGTGAGTGAAGAGCGTGGGCCACTGTCGCTGGCTAGACTGGACACCGGAGCTCAGAACGCCCTTGTGCCTGGGGCAGCTTTGCCCGGGCTCAGCCCAGAGAGGCAGGCGCAGGCCCCCTTCCGGCACTGCGGGAGACCCCTGGTGGGATGCTTAACTCTTGTCCAGCACCGAGGCCACTAGGACATTATTCCTGCCCTCTCTGTCTCCACCCTGGGCCAGCGTCCTCCGAATGAGGAGCCGTCTGTCCTTCATAGCTAAGGGACCTCAGGCAAGGCGTCTGACTTCTGTGAGCCTGTTTCTTCCCCTGCGAAATGGGCATATGAGGGAATCATTATTGCGCTCAGCCAGGTGTCTGGTTGTGGTTGTTAAAATTAACTAAATTAACGTTGTGGACTGTGTCTCAAATGCTGGAAATACCCCCTCATACACACACTGTCCCCTTCCTTTTCAGTCTCTGTCACCAGGTGACGTGAGGTAAGGGCCAAAAGTAACCCCCACCCCGCCCGCTGTACCCTAACCCATCCAAGCCCCAGCCCAGCCCCCAGCCCGGCCCCCAG